TTCCCACAGTGTTGGGATTACAGGCGTGAGCCATTGTACTTGGATGGTTAATTTATTATTGAGAAAGAAAAGTTTTTTTTATAAATTTAGTGTAGCCTAAGTATACAGTGTTTATAAAGTCTACACTGCTATACAGTACTGTCCTAGGCCTTCACATTCACTCACCACTCACTCACTGACTCACCCAGAGCAACTTCTAGCCTAACTCACCCTAAGCTCCATTCACGGTAAGTGCCCTATACAGATGTACCATTTTTATCTTTTGTACAGTATTTTTACTGTACCTCTTCTGTGTTCAAATACACAAATACTGACCACCGTGTTACAATTACCTATAGTATTCAGTATAGTAACATGATGTACAGGAGTGTAGCCTAGGAGCAATAGGTTATACCACATAGTCTAGGTTTGTAGCAGACTATACCACCTGTGTTTGTGTAAGTACACTATGATGTTTACACAAGGATGAAATTGCCTATTGCTGCATTTCTCAGAAAGTATCCCCGTTGTTAAGTGACATGTAACAGTATTATTACCAATGATTTAAAGTTGTATGGGTGAAGAGTGAATCAATGGCTTATTAACAGGTTGAGTTATCACATTTTTATCTTTTTGTGATCCATTACATTACTCAAAATCACAAATAAAGAATTAAAGTGAGGCCACAGAGAAAATACCACACAAAAATAAAAGGAAGAATCATAACAGCAATAAAGAGCATGTTGGAGCAGTGAAAGATTTCTGGTTGGTGAAAATTAACACTAACTAAGAGTTTTTATGTGTCCCAGGTGGTATTCATCATTTGCCTTGTTTTCTCTTCTAAAACTCCATTTGCAGCTGAAGGCCCAAACAAAAAGCTACCAAAACTGTTTGAAAAGATACTGCATAATTTAGAAAGAGCCACTCTGATCAAGAGAAAGTGGAGGAAAGAAACAACCAGGAGACCTTCTGAGAAAGTAAGGCAACTCACAATCCAATGTGCATTTCCCCAAATTGAAAATGTTGGCCCAAATGCTGGGAGCAGAATAAATACAAATATAACAACAAAGAAGCAAGGAAACAAATACAATCTTCGTGTTCTATCAAATATCTGACAAAGATGTTGGAATATGCAAATTGAATTAAAGGCTGTCTAGCTCTTGAGAGTGGAGGTGAAGGGGACTACAGATGTGTTTTGCTCATGTAGCACAGTGATTTAAAATAATTAAAACTGGAAAATTTGAAGATTTTTAGGAAGGCTATGCAGATATTCAGACTGCTACAAGGCCCTGCTGTTCCGTATTCTCTTATATGGTGCTTCTTAATATTTTTGTACCTCTCTAGCCACTGGAGGTTGGGGCTCCTTTTAGGGGTTCTTACTGAATGTAATGTGATAGGGCAGAATGTTGCAGCTGGTAGGGACTGAGAGGTCATCTAGCGCATGTGCCCCAATTAAGGCTGATAAAACAGATACTAAGAGAGGCAATAAGGATGTGTCTAAGGACTACCATTCAGTAAATCAGTAGAAACCCTTTATGGTTAAATTTGGGCTGCCCAACAACCTTTTGTCATTTGGTACAACTATGCAATTTTAGTGGTACATTTTAATCTTATACTAAGTTAAACTTGGCCTGAAAGAATAATTATTGTCCAGTTATCAATAATTCATGAATTGGCTCCACTATGGGCTCTTGCTGGTAAATACTGGAAATATCCAATTTTACAACTTTTTGCTTTATAAATGCCCAATATCCAAATACATACACAACACACACACACACACACACACACACACACACACACACACAGGCTTTTCATTCACCATCAAGAATTCACAAAGAATCTTTAAGGATTCTGGAATTTAAAATAGTATTCAGTTCACCATTCCTTCAAACACCGACAACTTTCTGGAAATACATTTTTGTCTTAATATTAGTTTTAGCATTAATTTAGACTGAAGGGTAAAATCATCTATGCCTATTCAATAATTATAGAGTTTTCAGAGCATAAACTCTAAAACTAAGAATACTGAGAAATCTACTTAGTCTCTGTAATCTCTCTTTTTTGATGAGAATTCTCATCATGAATCCATGTATCTGGCACCCATTTTGGTATCCTGGGAAGCTTATCAGTTTAGTATATTCTTTGAATTAAAAAAAACAGAAAAGACAAATACCAAATGATCTTGCTCATATGTGTAGAATCTAAAAAAGTAGGAGTAGAGAGTAGAATGGTAGTTACCAGAGGGTGTAGGAATAAGCTTTAGTGATTTATTGTCAAGAATAGTGACTATAAATAATGATGCATAGTATGTAAAAATATACAATTATTTATCCATTAAAAATAAAATTTCAAAAACCAAAAAGCATGTAACCTTAGTAATACGTAAAATGTAAATGTAAAATCAACACCTTTTTAAAGTACAATTACTATATTGATTGTACAGACACCTCTAAGTTGGCTATTCACTATACATTTTTATATTAGATTGAGGGTCATATTTAAAAGGAAAAGCCAATGAAGTTAATTTTCAAGAATATGGTCAAAAAGAAGAGGGTAGCAACTCTTGAAATTACTGTTAAGTATAAACACAGTGAATTACCTCATATTCCTGGGAAAACTTCAAGTTGTCATTTGCTTTCAGTCTTTCAATGTGATCTGCAAGTTCCAAGATAGGTATTGGAGGATGGCTAGCCATACCTATGAAAAAAGGAAAGAAGAGACACATTTGAAAATAAATGAAAATGATGTTAATCATTCAAAAATATAGAGAATACTATAGTTAGAAATGGCCTGAAAATATGTGAGTAGTAAAGATGTTTTAGGTGAGGAAGCAGGCAAATAGTTTGGTTACTCAAAGCAGGACATGCTCTGGAAGGATGGATTTTGTAGCCAAATGAAAAGTCACCAAGCATAATCTCCACACTAACACTCCTAGTGTAAAAAAAAAGCGTTATTGTGCTATGAATCAATGGGTTAGCTAGCGGAGAAAACTGCCAGTCAGGCTTGATGTCAACTTCTGCTTTGAGTAATGACTGTTATGTCATTTCAAACTCCTTCTCCTGCACTGTGTGAAATGGAAATTGTGTGGAATTAAATGGTGTAAAGTGAACTAAGAAAACAGACACTGAAAAAGGCCTAAAAGGGAAAGAGTAGTAGCTTGATAGGAAACATAAAATGACTTATGCATAATCAAGGAAAACTAACTTGAAGAATGAAGGTTACCAGGGTAACCGGAATCATCTGAACCTGCAAAGGAAATGATGGTGTAAATAAAATAAAATAGAACGGATTTGTTAAAAAAAAATATGATATGGATAGCCTAATATATTTTAAAAAAGACTAATAAAAATGCTGTGAGTTTTTGCAGGGTTCACTATACATTTTGACTAGATTAAGATTGATTTAATATTTCACAAACTTGTTAGGTGACTGACGTTCACATGCAAACACAGATACAAAGAATGACATGCACCACAGCTCATTGACAGTAATCACTGAAAACACAATCAGACACCAAACTGAGCTTCAAAAATGTTTCCACTAGTAGCAGATTGTAGAGGCTGGGGTTGCAGCCTTCTCCCGGACATTTATAGATGGCCACACTAACAACTTCGTGGTATTTTGCCCCAGGTCCCCGTTATTCAACCCCCAGCAAGCCTACAATCTACTTCAGGTGTAAACATCTTTGTCCACTAATGGGAAATGAATTCAGGAAAGTGAGCAAATGGTGAAAAGATAAGGAGGGGAAAGAAGATGGAAAAAGGGGGAAAGCAGAGACGGGGGCTGACACATCTTAGTTCAGTCGGCCAGCGGAAGATATATTAATTTCATAGGTTCTGTTAAGAACAATCCACTGTTAATTTTGGTGATCCTTGTGTCTTTCTGATGTTTTCTCACTTTCGTATACTTTGTATTTTATTTTTTTCTGATTAATTTTGCAGAAGTAGCATGGGAGAGCATTGATGACTCTTATCTGACAGACATAAATTTCAGCTGGCCAGAAAACTCTGAACTAGCATGGCCCCAGGGAAGCCTCTGAAGCAGAAAAAGGAGGAGGGAGGAGCTCAAACTGGAAGCCCTGTTGATATTCTGCTGTCACTGTGACTCTTTGGAGGGAGTCACAGTGTGGAATGATGCCCATTAAGTCAACATGACATGTGATTACTTTATGGACATTTTAGAAATTGCACCATTATTGAAAGTCACCCAGTAAGTTCCTTTATCTCAAATGCCAAATTATCAATGGTTCTGGTAAGTTAAGTAAAAAACTACTTTGCTTTTTGAAGACTTTCATTTTAGCACAGTGCTGTGAATCATGGTGGTTTAGTTTCATGGCTATGAAGGTCTGCTGCTAGTCAGCTAAAATCTCAGTGGGGATACGATAAAAATACGTTGCTTGGAAGCAGAAACTCTTTGTTGGTGATATAATTATGCCTTTGGATCAAAATTTGGGGGCCCTTTCTGAAACTTTTTGGTGTTAATGGTAGAATTGAACTACTATACATTCTGTGGAGAGAGTGGGTGGGTGACAGTGATCTCATAATTGCGTGATCTCATCCAGATGAGGCAACCCCAGTGAAAAGAATGGAAATGCGAAGGCACAGGAGACATTAGGCTTATCTGGGAATGGAAATGGACTGACATGGACATCATTACAGTGCTTTAACAGAGAAAATAATAGAGACAAAGATGTTTAGACCTTTTCGAGCGAATCGTGGGAGAGAGTTATTATCATATATGGACTGAGTGGTGGTTTGGCTAGAGAGGGAGGACACAGAGCCAATCAGGGAGGCGTAGGGGACTGAATTACTGCTCAAAGCTGCAAAAAGTAAAGCCAGTTGGAAATGGGAAAAGTATTAGTATAACAGCAGTAGAAGACCATAATAATCAACCAAAGATGCGATCAACATATTCACTTCTGGCATGCACTGGCACATGGCCTGAAAGTATTACTTTGGAAACTAATTACAGAGAAATCCAAGCAAACTTGCACTGACTCATATTCTAGATCAGAATATATATGCATATATCTATCACATGCACGATATCATAGCATTAAAGAATCATTATTTAAGACTTATTAGTATGTTCCATATTGAACCAAATTTCAAGGACAAGTAAAACCAGCAGAATGGGTGTTTAAAACAAAAAGGGGAAGAGAACTTGTGGGAATCTAATGGTACAGGAGAAGAAATCCTGGCCTAGACTACTAGACTTGAGTTGTGCTTTTCATTCTGCCGCCTACTAATAGGGAGAAATCACTGCTTGTCCAGCATCTCAATTTCCTTAATTATAAAATAAGAGGGTAGAATTAAATTCTAGGGTCACTACTTTCTCCATAACTCTCATTTCTACCATATAGATGGGGTATCTGAACAGAGAAGAGAAGACCTCTTGAACACAGTCCATATGTAAGGGTTCTAAAGTTATTGTACCTTTTGTTTGAGGGATGGGGAACACATTTTACAAAATAGAAAACTATTATGCAGTTGAATTGTCTACTTTTTGAATTATTTAAGTTCAACGATTTTTCTTTAGTTAGCCAAAAAGTATATACATTCTATTACAATGTTGTCATATATTTGAAAAGATTGAATGTCAACAAAAAAATTATGCTAAAGAATAAATCTGGGATAAAATTCCTCTAAGAGGAAACTCTTTAGCTCATGTCAGAAAATAATCAGCAAGGATCTACTTCAAAATATTGTTATACAATTCCCCAGAAACTTCTCCACTGCCCAATGTTGAAAATTTTATATGATGTAATCAAGAATGTTAGATTCTGAATGAAAAAGCAGACACTAAGAAAACTATGAAGTTGACCTGACTGTGGTCTTTTCAATTTTTTATCTCGAAACCTGGCCATTGTTCATAGTTCTATAAACCAAGGTCTTTATTAGGTCAGTGCCTTCATGTTTGAATCACTGAGATGCTTTAAAATTCTTTTTTGCAGGCTATATATCAGCTATACACCAGCTATACACCAGCCCAAGAATCAGAATCTCACTCTGGGTGTGGGAGCCAGATATTGACATTTCAAAAGTTCCCTAGAGCAATGGCTCTCAGTGTTATGGTAATTCATGATGGGGGGCCGGTAACTCCATTTATTACTTGTTTTTTTCCATTAAAAAAAAATCACATCAGTATTTATGAGAATGAGATGAGCTTTTTCCTGGTGGTATCCTTGCATCCCCTCTGACTCCCCATTAGCAAGCTTTAGTACCTTAGCTACTGTTACCAACAAAGAACTTGAAGCACAACTAACAACTGGTGAGGACTTGCCAGTGTCATGACCTCATCAGCTCAAAGCTACAAACATACGAAAATAAATGCATTTTAAAGGCACACATTAAATTTGAGCTGAGTTTTCATTCTGAAGCTATGATCTCCACAATATACAGTGCCAACATGAAAAAGGACAGATGCAGTCACTGAAATCTGCCTTAGGTTACAGGAAAAAACATGATGGTTCCTTTTTATAGGGTCCATATTTGTGATAGTAACGTCATGGTGGCTTCCTAAAAGAAGTATAACTTTAAAATCATGGCACTTTAAGCTGAGAGATGCCTTAGAGATGACTTAGTCCAGCATTGCTGTTTTATACAAGAGGACTCTGAAGTCCAGAAAAGTTCAATGACTTGTGTATGTCACTGAACCAGATAGTAAATAACAAAATCTTACCATGCAATTGGGGCATCTTTCTACTGTCCTATTTCTATAATGGTATTTATGACTTTCTAAAGCAGGGGGCAAAGTGTCCGATGACTGAAGGGGCCAGGCTGACAAGGCAAAATGACTGAAGATGCCTAGGTATGGTAAACACTTTCACTAAGAATCGCACTCATTCCCATTTCTTCTCAATGAGCAGGCTTCTTTTGCTGTCTTTTGCCTCCCTACTTTTGATGGAGACTCAAGAAAGAGCAATATCTCTCTATTACATGAAAAGTAGCCATAAACATGAGATAAATAATGATGACAGTCTTTATGTCAGTCATCTTTAGGGCTGGTGTAGACATGGGGAACTTCCGGGAAAAGTGAAACTGTTCATCTCCAGCATTTGCTCTGCCAAGTGGAAATGCAGGGCCAACAAGGTCAGATGTTTCAAGGTTTTCGATAGCAACTAACCATCCAGATTATCACAGGACATTTCCTTAGTTTTCATTGTTGACTCTAAATTTTATTGATACTCAGTGAGCAACAAAGACAATACCTTTTGCAGGCCACATCTGGCCAATTAGATTGTGACCTCTGTTTTAAAAGAATAACATCTTCCTTTTGTGTTTGTGTGTGTGTGTGTGTGTGTGTGTGTGTGTGTGTGTGTGTGTATGTGAATTAAAATCAAAGAATGTTTGGAGTAAGAGACTGCATACTATATCCACAAGGCACTGAAGTAGATATCGAGTGTTATGCTGGGGATATAAAGATGTATACTTCTTGTGTACTTCATCCATCTTCCTCCTACCCAATCTTCTCCCATTAATTTTACCAATTAGGAAAATAAAGCTCAGAGGAGTTAAAGGATTTGATCAACGTCATCATTATCAGCAAAACTATGGCTTCATGGGACATTTGATCCCAGACCTTGTCATTTCTCATTATACCATGTTGTCTCTCAAATCATCTCACACCCCTGGAAGAGCGGGGACACATGTATGTAAAGCTGGGCCTGTGGGACTGTTTGGGCTATCTCTGCAGCA